AAAAACTAAAACACTATGCCAAATTTTTAGAAGTTTCTCTTTCTTCCCGCTTCTCCATCCTTAACATATCCGCAAGAACGTTTCATCAATAGTGGGTACTAATTATCTTCTGATAATGCTAATGAAATACATCTATCTAAAGTGAAAAGAAATCTTTTAACTTGCTTCAACTACCCATTTCTTTGTTTTGTTTTGTTTTGTTTTTGAGACGAAGTCTCACTGTGTCGCCCAGGCTGGAGTGCAGTGGCGCAATCTTGGCTCACTGCAACCTCCACCTCCCAGGTTCAAGCAATTCTCCTGCCTCAGCCTTCCCAGTAGCTGGGACTATAGGCGCACACCACCATGCCTGGCTAATTTTTGTATTTTTAGTAGAAACAAGGTTTCATCATGTTGGCCAGGCTGGTCTCAAACTTCTGACCTCAGGTGATTTGCCCACCTCGGCCTATATCAATATCTTATTACTGTTTATTCACACTTATACAGAAGATGCATTCAAATGGCCACACCATAAACATGTTTCATTTTTTAGCTCTGAAAATATCAAGTAAAAATTTATTTACCTACTATATAAAATATATATAGATAGGTGGATATACAGAAGTCTTGTAATGTAAAATGCCAAATATATTGTATATTTTCATATATTTATTCCAATATTAAAATTATATTTATTCAAATCCAGTACTAGGAAGCACCAAAACTTAGTTTCACATTATGAAAATCATATTATAAATTTATACTTGCAAAAGTTTAAAACCATTGTCTTCGGGGATAAGAGAAAACATACGTGAAGAATAGCAAATCCATTGATCTTGTTTGAACTGACCCATTCAACCTAAAGAGCTCAAATTATTTCAAATGATTTTAAGTCTATTCTGACAGTCTCCATCAAGCACCATTGTCACAAAGCAAAACTGGAATTCTCTGTCATGGCATGTGTATTGGAGTGTCCTCAAAGCTTCCAAGTTGAGAAAAAGTCAGTAAAAGTCAATCAACCCAGGATGTCAGGATGTACACCATCTGGCCTAATAATATAAATCTGGACAGCACACCACTGCAACTGGTCCCATTAGCCACACATCTCCAGCTAGCTCTATGGGGGCAGTAGCAGAGCATGCAGTTTTTGGATGAGATTTTCCTACATGATATTGTTCGTTATTGTTATTCTTACTAAGACAAATATTCAAAGATTTCAGTAAAATCTTCTATGTAGACCCCTGAGCATAAAATATTTAGCTTACATAGAAAGGCAAGGCATATTTAAAATATCCCTATCTGAAGCAGTATGGCATTAACAACAACAACAATAGCAATAACAATAACAATAACAAAGATGTACATAATTTGCCAATCTACAAAACGCTTTGGATATATATAAATCAATACATATGTACATAAAAGAACTGATCATTTAACCTCATAATAACCCTGTAAGGTAGGAATTATTACGCCCCCCACCTTTTTTTTTTCCCGAGACAGAGTCTTGCTTTGTCATCCAGGCTGGAGTGCAGTGGCGCAATCTCGGCTCACTGCAACCTCTGCCTCCCGGGTTCAAGCAATTCTCCTGCCTCAACCTCTCAAGTAGCTGGGATTACAGGTGATTGCCACTGTGCCCTGCTAATTTTTGTATTTTTAGTAGAGATGAGGTTTCACCATGTTGGCCAGGCAGGTCTCGAACTCCTGACCTCATGATCTGTCTGCCTCAGCCTCCCAAAGTGCTGGGATTACAGGCATGACCCACCATGCCCAGCCTGTTATGCCCATTTTTAAGTGATAAGAGACATGTTCAGACAAATAGAGGAACTTATGCAGCTCCTAAGTTCTAGAAATAAAGTTTGTCCTTTGATTGTCAAAGTCTAACACTCCTTCCACTTAAAGAATCCAGATTCTGATAATGACCACTTATGAGGCACCACATGAACTGTTACTATGCCAGTTTGGGCTAATGGTGGAGGACTTTAAAAGCAAAATATAAAGTAATGACAAGGCCCATTGACTTCTTTATGCATTTTTAAAAATTTGATCTTATATTAACTTGCCATTATTCTACAAAAAAAGCTCACTACAGTCCAGTCTCTCTCTTATTATAATGATCTTAGAAAACAAAATTAAAAGGGAACTTAACTTAGAGCACTTTATTTAATGAGCAGGGCTTACATAAGTGTGCAGAAATAATACCCTGGAGCTATTTTATACAAGAGCCACAAAAGATCTACCACAGATGAGTGATAGAAACATAATTAGTATGAGCTTTTGCAGTTGCCAATTTGCCATTATTTAGAAGAGCACTCTCTACTTGAAGTTGAGCTTTTACTACGCACTGAATATCACAGTCAGCAGAAACTGAAGAATGGTGGCCCAAGAGCAGATGATCCTGCTGTAAATTCCAAGGGATTTCATTAGCTGCTAACAGCCAATACTAAATATTGCTGATAAGTCCCTACTGAGCAGCCACCTTGGCTTGCCTAAGACTCAGCATGTGAGAAAAGGACCAAAAAAAAAAAAAGTTTTCCTGTCTTGGGAAATGCAGAAGCACCCAGTCCAGTATGGATTTGCTCGCCCCTTATTCCACACCCCAGATCACGGCCTGCTTGCAGGTTTACTCTAGGATCAGGAAGGCCCCAGGGGTTAGTCCTAATGTAGCCACTGGATGTAATCCAGGCCTAAGTGAGGCAACATTCAGAACACCACCAGTTTACATGGGTTCTAGAGTCCATTCAAGACATTGGGCCTATCTTTCCTCTCCTAGATTCGTTCTTAAAGCAACAGTAACTTTTCCAGAAATATTCCAGGGACGGAAAGACAGGAGATTCCGCAGACCCTATTCTCCCAGCAAACCTGTGTTGGTAGCAATATGCCTGATAGCTTGAACCAGTTACATGTGGAAGGAAAATCATCCTGCAATTTCACCACAAGAGGATTTTTCGTTATTGATGTCGAGGGTGGTAGAAATTTGGAGGGGAAATTGTGGGGAAGAGACAGGATGGCTTGGAGCCCTTTTCTTTTCAAAATATTCATTAGAAACTATGCCTTTTCGCCTCAAAAGTGCTACTGTGAGTCTTTAAAAGAAGCTCTTGGATGAGAAGAACCCAGGGCAGCAGCAAAGAATCCAATGCCGATTAATTCAAGCGCTAAGCAAATATTAACTTCCAGGCATGGTAAAGGCACTGATTCCTCAGAATCATTCTCACACAACAGCTTGGAACCAAAGTTGTCTATAAAAATAAAAGTTCCTGAACAAAGAATATTTGCAGTTCAACCCTAAAATATTGATTTAAGAAATGAATTCTATGCCTTTTAAAAGAAATGGGACATAAATCATGCTACTTTCCCTCCCACCCTTGCTGATAACTAGATATGACAAATATTTTCAAATGTATCAAGTGCTTACGGAATTCAGATTTCTTGGCCTTTCTTTAAGTTAGCATTTTTGTGGGAAACAATGTTATATGGGGGATGATTTTTTTTTCTGTATTCAACATGAAACAGTAAATATTTGGCATGCCGTTTGCCCCAAGGATCAAAATGACACCAAAGAAGTATGAGTGGTGATACCAGACTGTGCTGACTCCCTGAAGCTGACTTAGAAACCTTCTAGAGGAGAAAACATTAATGCATGGGTTAGAGAAGAACTCCTACAAAATACAGCAAACCAATTCCAAGATGAAGTTGTGGGAAATAGCAAAGGTTGAGCTGAATTCTCAAGAAGTAGAACTCACTGAGTAAGAAAACTAGAGAGTGGGTGCATGTTTGGGAAGTGTGTTATGTCAAAAAGCAGGTGTGATCATTCAAATTTGATAGAGTTTGTTTTGAAATAAAATCATCACCAGGGAATTAGATTAATTTTATAAATCATCTTCCAAGAGGATGCATACCAATTTATTTAGCAAATAACTGGATTTCTTAGCTATTCATACCACTATAAGAGACACTGGCTATTTCTGAGAAACTCTATCAAATACAAGGATTTACCACTATAGTCCCTGCCCTTAAGGAGCTTTTAGTCTAGTAAAAAAGTGTAGAGAGGGCTAAGGGTGAGGTCATGAAAAAAATTTAGAAGTGTGGTATGAGTATTTCCTTCTGGGAAAACAAAGACTTTTCATTTAGTCTGGTCTTTGATGGTTGGGGTCAAAAATGGAGAAAAGAAGTGTATTTAGAAAACTCTGTTTAGAGAACAACTGTTTCCAGAATGGGTGAAAATAAATAGGGAGAGATTAAAAAGACATCATGTCTTTTGCAGGAACATGGATGGAGCTGGAGGCCATTATCCTTAACAAAGTAATGTAGGAACAGAAACCCAAACACCGCATGTTCTCTGTGGGAGCTAAATGATGAGAACTCATGCACACAAAAAGGGGAACAACAGATACTGGGGCCTACTTGAGGATAAAGGGTAGGAGGAAAGGGAGGAGCAGAAAAAATAACTACTGGGTACTAGGCTTAGTACCTGGGTGACAAAATAATCTGTACAACAAACCCTCATGACATGAGTTTACCTGTGTAACAAACCTGCACATGTACCCCTGAACCTAAAATAAAAGTTAAAAAAAAAATCTCTCTCCTGAGGATCAACCAAGACTGGTTCCTAAGTCCATTTTCACGCTGCTGATAAAGACATACCTGAGACTGGGTAATATATAAGGAAAAAGAGGTTAATGAACTCACAGTTCCACGTGGCAGAAGGTGAAATACGGAAAAAGAGGTTTAATGAACTCACAGTTCCACGTGGCACAATCATGGCAGAAGGCGAAAGGCACGACTTACATGGCAACAGGGAAGAGAGAATGAGAGCCAAGCAAAAGGGGTTTCCCCTTATAAAACCATCAGATGTTGTGAGACTTATCCACAACCATGAGAACAGTATGGGGGAACTGCCCCCGTGATTCAATTATCTTTAGCTGGGTCCCTCCCACAACACATGGGAATGACAGGAGTACAATTCAAGAGGAGATTTGGGTGGGAACACAGCCAAACTATATCACTAAACCAGTCCAATTTACCATGCAGGTGAGCCTCAGAGGATGGCTAGTGCCTAAGGCACTGAGGATGTCCTCCAGCTTATTCTTAGTCTGTTTTATTGTGTCTCTGCCTCTAAACACTTGCTGTAAGGCATCTATTTACATCTCCATTTCTGCTTCCTTAAAATTTGGTGTCTCTGAATCTCCTTGAGAAGATGGCAGCTCTCTCCTTTGGCTTTCAGTTAACCTCCAACTTCTGCTCCCAGAGTTCTCCACAGCTCCTGAGAAATCCAAAGCTGCTTCCTGTCATGACCACGCCCAACCCCAAGAAGATATCTGATTACAATTGGGTTTTAAAGAGTTGTAGAAGTGACAAATGTGAGCTTGGGATTCAAAATCTGAATACCACAATTTATTCCCAGTGTACACTTTCTATGTGTACCAATTCTTGTTTTCAGTATGTTCCTGTGGTTCCTATGTCCTAGCATCCTTTGTGGATTTCTTAACCATGTAGAGCTCACCATTTCTCACAGGCCATCAAGAGACTCATTTAATTCTCATGAATAATTACTCCCAAGTGCCTCCAACCCATGAAGAAAACAACCTTTCCTGAATCTTGAGAGCCTTCAAACTACAACACACATTTTGAGATCTTTATAATAGTAGGTTATACGTACTAAGTGTTCACTATGTGCTGGGTGTTTTATATACAATATCTTATTTTATCCTGATTACGTGCCTTCAAAGTAAGTATTATTATACTCATTTCGCAAGTAAGGAAAATGAAACTCAGAGGTCAACTAAGTTGCCTGAGGTAACTTAGCTAATAAACACTGATTCGAATGCAAGTCTGAAGCAAAAGCTGTCCTTTTTTACTACTACGTAGCAATAGCAGACTTAGATTATTCTGTAATTTTTTCTAATAAGTCACAACTGTAAACTATCTTATTCTGAATTTGTATAACACTCAACACTGTATTAGGTGTATTGTAAGTGCCTAAATTAACTATTGTGCACACAGTATGTAGTGTGACTGGAAATTCTCTATGTAAGTGGGGAAAAAAAACATGATGTCATTTAATTTCACTTTGATCTACAAACAGTTGGATGGATTTGTCCACCACAGAGCCAATATAATAAGCTATGACTAGAGCATGCTACAACAATCCAATCAGTCAATTCAATGAAAAAAAAAAGCAATCGAAGTAGAGTAGTTTTAAGATGTTGCATGAATCAAAAACTGATTGCTTCAGGTTTTCCCATTTCAATCGGCTATGCTAAGAATACTTTCCTGCCTGTATTTCTCCTGAGCATTAGCACAGCCTCACAAAAGGTGGGGTAGATATTGAAAAGGAGAAATGCATTTTCCTGTTCACAGACATAATCATAAAGAAAATAATTTATATAAATTTGCTTTTTAAAAGCCCTTATTGGTTTGGCTACATTGAAAATACTGTGGTTTCTCTTATTAAAGGTAAGGGAAATATGTTTCCTCTGGGGGAAATTCAGACTAAATAGAAATTATGACATCTCACCCCATCTGACCTTGTAATTCATACACTACAGATCAATGTTTAAAAGCCTGCTGCCCAGTCTCCAACCCCCGCCCCCTCAAGAATGTCATATACACAGAAAACTGGCACCTGGACGAGCTTCAAAGTCCCCACATGGGCACTGTGGTGAGCTCATCACATCAGGCTAAAAACCAGCCTTTGTTCTCAGTGTCACGTTTTGCCTTAGTAGGAGATGATGCCCCCACAATCACGTCCATTCATGAGGCAAGAGCACTGGGGTCTGCACGGAACAACTCTTCATTGAGCTGCAGAAAACAGGGAAATAGCTGTCGTGTTTTCCCAGTGATGCTATTAATATTTAAGTGCTGTTCTCTGGTGGGGGTGGGGGAATAAGAACCCAACTCGAAGAGGGCTCTGACCTACTTTCATGATTACTGCTGCAATCATGAACAAATTGCTCAAAAAGAAAAAGAAAAATCACACCTATCCAAATTCCAAGTAACAACCATAGAAGGCTAGTGTTGGCAAAAGATGTTGCTTGGAAAATTTGCAGCTACTGCTGTGGATCACATAAAAGATTTTATATCTAAGCAGAGTACTTAATGGTTTGTAATAAGCACTAGCCCCCATTTCCATTTCAGTGCTTGAACATGTTATTAATGAATGATGATGTTAAGTATGACATCTACAAAATGGCATATAGCTCTGAAATTAGAGCTCTCACTTCATCTCACTATTCTCATTGAATTACAGAAAGCAAATAAAGTGAAGCATATTCTCACTTCAGGCAGGTTAAGTGATTTGCCAGGAGACACTTAGCAAGTTAGCAAGCATAAATAAGGAAGGAAGCCGCAGGATCCTTTAATAAAATTGGGTCCACACACCAAGCATGGCTCTCAAAGCATGGCATCTCAGCCCAGGTATCCTAATAAGTATGGAACTCTAGAAACAAGGGGGCAGAAGCAACAGCTTGCTGATCCTTCCTGCTGCTGCCACTATGAAGACTCTCACAGTCACGTATCCAGAGAGTCTTTTTCTTCCATTTAGTTTTTCTTGTTTTTTTTTTCTTCCATTTATTGTCCCTGCATGCTGTTTCCTACAATAGCTCCAAGTTCAAGAAAAAGATGAATAAAATGACAGTTGCTAAGTTTATTACAAGGTAAAAAGAATCACAAATGTAGTTAAATAAACAAGTAACTACAAATCTCCCTGTCTTTTTCCTCTCTTACTCCTTTACCTCCAGCTTTTTCCTTCTCTCCATCCTGGTCATTAATATAAAAAAATTTTTTTCCCTTAATCCCTTCCTTCCAGGTTTCTTTCTTTTGCTTTAAAGGTCTATGCATGCCATTAACCCTGTTGTTAACAACATTACAAATATTAACATCATTTTTTTAAATGTCAGGATATGTATAAGGCATTCATTCTGAGAATTCAAAGGACTTTTTCTTTCTTTTTCTGATTGACCTCTAAGAAGCAGAGACAAAGATATCTGTCTCTTATCCCTCAGACCAGTGCTTCTGTCTCTACATTAGGCTTTTCAACTACAGGACCATTGACAATTAGAGCTGGATAATTCTGTGTTGAGCAGGGCTGTCCTGTGTACTATTGTAGGGCTCCTCAATTCCCAGGCCATGGACCGGTACTGGTTGGTGGCCTGTTAGGAACTGGGCAGCACAGCAGGAGGTGAGTGGCGAGTGAGTGAACATTACAGTCTGAGCTCTGCCTCCTGTCAGATTAGCAGCAGCATTAGATTCTTATAGGAGCACAACCCTATTTTGAACTGCACATGTGAGAAATCTTGGTTCTGCACTGATATGGATTGGCTCTGTGTCCTCATCCAAATCTCATTGAATTGTAATCCCCAAGGTTGGAGGAGGCGCCTGGTGGGAGGTGACTGGATCATGGAGGCAGACTTCCCCCTTGCTGTTCTTGTGATAGTGAGTGAGTTCTCATGAGATCTGGTTGTTTGAAACTGTGTAGCACTTCCCACTTAACTCTCTCCTCTCTCGCGCCAGCCATGTGAAGATGTACCTGCTTCCCCTTCACCTTCCTCTATGATTGTAAGTTTCCTGAGCCCTCTCCAGCCATGCTTCCTGTACAGCCTGTGAAACTGTGAGTCAGTTAAATCTATTTTCTTTATAAATTACTCAGCCTCAGGTAGTTCTTTACAGTGTGTGAGAATGGACTAATAACATGTTCCTTATGAAAATCTAATGTCTGATGATCTAAGGTAGAACAATTTCATCCCAAAACCATTTTCCCACCATCCGGGGAAAAATTGTCTTCCACAAAACCGTCCCTAGTGCCCAAAAGGTTAGGGACCACTGTACTATTGGATGTTTTGCAGCATCCCTGGCCTCTACCCACTAGATGTCAATATCAATCCATCTGCCAAGGCTCTAACAACCAAAAATGTCTCCATATATTGCCAAATGTTCCCTGGGACAAAATCACCCCCAATTGAGAAGCACTTGTCTAGATCATACTGCCTGGTTGTCTCTGTGTGTGTGAGAGAGAGTTAGAAAAGGAAGGAGGTTATTTTGAGTTCAGCCTGTGTAATTCTTGAGGTGGGCTTGAGATCAGTGAGGTGAGAGATTATTTTCTCTAATGTCTACTCGCTTCACATTGGTCTTGAGAGAAATGCTATAAACACAACAAGATTGGTTAAAGAATTCTGAGTTTCTTGGAGGAAAAATAAAACCCCCAAAACAATAATAAAAGCACTGAATTACAACATACATTTTATACAACATGAGTGGACTGTGCCTAACAGAACCAGTACGCACAGCCTACCTTTTGTATGTGTTAACATTTTTTGTATGTGTTAATATTTTTTGGCATTTATGTATTGAAATAGCCTTTAAAAGGGTCAAAAAATTACCTAGAATAGGAGTTCATTCTTGGAATATCATAAACCACTTCTATTTTCCCTTGTTTTTGTCCTTACCTCAAGGATGTATTAGTCAGCTCTGAAAATATATTCAAGAGCTTTCAACAAGCAATTAATTAATCCTTGCAGTGCATTAATATTGAAGGAATGGTCATCTCTTACTGAGCAGACAGATATAAAAACAAGAGACATTACTGTTCTGTAATGATTCAAACTAATAAGAGGCTCTTAAATGGAACATTTGTGTCAAACTATCAGTAAATCCCAGATTTACACTTAAAGACCTTGCTGGACCACAAAGGAATATTTACCATGTCAGATTCTGCAATTAGAGTTCTAAATACTAAAGTTCCTCTATGTGCTATCAAAATACATTTAGTTGAGAATATTTTAGTCAACTCACACCTATAAAAGTATGCCCTACATTTAAAAGAATCCTAAATAACAATATTAGCATCAAATATGCATACAGTTTCTACCTTCAGAGATCAACTGTAAAATAGGTAGTCAATAAATTCCCAAGTCATTACTTTCCTGGCATGCAAATTTCCTTGTAAAGAACGAAACTTCTTTGTCAGGGAGGTGGACACTTGACATCAGAAAAATGTATTCTTAAGTAGGCACAGGTGGAACATAAATCTAAGAGAAAGTATCTGAAAACACAAATGGACCAGTTTGAACTAGAAATCTTTTAGGAAAACAAGAATAACATTTATACTAAGGAACTGAGGTTGTCATTTTGTGCACTCAGTTTACTGAGTGGATAATTATAAGCATACTAGAAAATGGCAACAACAAGACAAAAGAATAGAGGGTGTTAATGTATTTTAAGAAATTGTAGTCAAATGATGATTGGATGTGTAGGATTCAAATCACTGCCTTGCCTCTAATTAACTCTGTGACCATGGGCAAAACTGCCCACTTGCATTAATGTGGAGGCACAGGGAACTGAAAGTGAAGAGCAAATCAGTGTTTTCCATTTTCTTATACTTATTTATTCTCTCAAAACAGTTCTATTTAGATTTCCTTATATTTAAAAATGGGGAGATATGTGACAAGCTGGACCAGTGGCACTCTGGGATTTACTGAGCAATGTGACATTACCTATGCCCTGACCTCAGGCATCCTTGATTCCATGGTGAACTACCATTTAGCCATCTGTAAAATAAACCTAATGTTTAATTTTGGAGAATTAAAGAGTACCACCATCTTTAGGATCTCCTTAATCTGCCTAATCCCTTTATTCTCTATCCGTGAAGGCAGAAGCCAGATCTGTTGTGTTCTCTATTGTATCTCAAGTGTGAGCACAGTGCCTGACATGTGGCAAGCACCGGGCAAATATTTGTAGAATAAATGAATAATTTGACACACCAAAATCACCACAGTATCTTGATTTGTTGCTCGTTAACTAGACATAGATACAGATAGTGATAAATGACACTTCAGGATAGCACATGAGTATCAACACAAAAGATATTTCTAAGGGCTATAACTATTTTAAGTTCTCCAATGTGATATGTTCAATAATTATAACAGTACCATCTGAAATCCTTCATATAGGTCTTTAGTTTATATTAACAGAAATGAAAACATGAGCAGAAGAGTCATATTCTGAGGGAAAGTACAAAGAAACAGACTCCAGAGGGAATTTAGACAGTGGAAGCAAAATATTAAAGATTGTTATTCCCCAAAGCAATGGACAGACTTTTAAACTGAGGCTGTTGCCATCTGCAGTTGTCACTGACCATCTGCTTAGGTCTAATCTGGTCTGTCACTAGCATTAAATATAAATTAAAATTCTGTTCTTCTAAGCAAATTCCAGAAAAGGTTCTCTTATCCTGAATTGTGAGCTAAATTTTCATTCTTGTACTATTTCAGCAAGAATATTATTAAATGGCTTCATAAGGTCAGGCCCATGGACCATCTAGCCCAACATTCTGTGAGTAATGGCAGCCACACGCTGCAACTTCTATTATGAACTTCCTCAGAGTCCAGCTTCTGCACTGTTTGTAAACATCAAACCTGAAATTAATTTAAATATTGACCCCAACATATCAATGTCATGCATGGGCATGGTAAGCAGATTTCTCAGTTGCTCCTCCAAATTCAAGCCCCCCCGCTGTGTATACCCTACATAATCTTCTTCCCTTGCAGGCAGGTGGAGCCTATAAATTTTTATATGATCGTTGCCGCATTTTTTTTTTGGTATGTACTACTTAAAAATTATTTTATTGGTATACAACAGTTGTACATATTTGGGGGCACATATGATATTTTGATACATGTATACAATGTGTAATGATCAAATCAGGGTAATTGGGATATACATCATCTCAAACTTTATCAAGTTTACAATTATAGAAGACTCTGTCGTAGCTGACCAGAGGAGGATTAAAAGTCTGAGATATGCACTGGTCCTGGAAAGAGCAAATATCCACGTGTTGAAAGGGCCTGTGGAGACCACAGGAACTAGAGTTGGTCTCCAATTGCTAGAAGTAGCCCCCCCGCCCACACCTAGCAAGAAAAATGGGATGTGAGTCGTATAGCTGCAACGAACCGAATTCTCCAACATGAGCTGAGAAGACCTGAAGCTCCAGAAAAGAAATGCAGCCCAACCTCCAGATAAGAACTGCAGCTCAACCTAAAACTGAATTCTCCAACATGAGCCAAGAAGAAGACTCTGAGCTCCAGATATAAGAACTGCAGCCCAACCTGAGCAGAGGACCCAACTAGCCCGCACCTGGACTCCTGACCCACAGAAATGTGAGATAATAAATGGGTGTTTGTTTTAAATTTGTGGTCATGTGTTACACAGCAAAAAAAAAAAAATCTAATAAATCAGATAAAGAATAATGGGCATATTATAAAATTTTATGAATGAGTGGATTGACAAGGTAAGTGAAATCCAGTTTACTTTTTTGAAAGGATGAGCTCCAGTTTACAATGATTGAACTGTCCTTTAATACTCGGGGGTATGCTTGGAACATGAGCCATCACATAATAAAGAGTGCTCCTCTGAAGTCACTACAACCATGGGGATTACAGCTTGGTGGAAGACCACATGCCCTGCATTGCCTAGCACAATGTCTGGCACATAGTAGGTGGCTGCTGTGGTTTGAATATTTCTCCCCTCCAAAACTCACGTTGAAATTTAATTCCCAAAGTGACAGTACTGAAAGGCGGGGGTCTTTAAAAGGTGACTGGGTCATGAATAGTGGATTAAGAGGTTATCACAGGAGTGGCACCAGTGACTTTCTAAGAGGAGAGTGACCTCAGCTCCCCAATCATGTGTAGAGTGCCCCCTTAAGCAAGAAGGCCCTCATCAGATGTGGCCTCTTGGCATTTGACTTCTCAGCCTCCATAATTACAAGAAATAAATTCCTTTTCTTTACAAACTATACAGTTTCAACTATTGTTATAAGCAACAGAAAATGAACTAAGACAGTGGTAAAAAAAACAACAACAACATGTGTTGTCAAATTAATAAACACTGAATAAATACATTTATTAATATAAAAATGTTTTCTGAAAAAATGAAGAAAATGGTGAACATATTTCTTTGATTACTCATTATACACTTTATAATTTGTAGTGTCTAAAGTTATTAACATTTACACACATGTAGCATGTGTGTAACTCATGAGCTACTTCTGGGAGTGAATTCTGGGGGGGTGTGTATAGAAGGACATTTACTTTTTATTGTGTGTACTTTACATACTTGGAAATCTTTGCATTAAATGTCAATTTTTAATGATAGGAGGATATACTTTAAGAACAGAAAGATCTAAGAGCATGCCTGGAATCAGACACTTTATTTTATTTATTTCTTTTTAATTTGTTTAGTTTTAGAGACAGGGTCTTGCTCTCTCACCCAGACTGGAATGCAGTGGCATGGCCACAGTTCACTATAGCTTCCAACTCCTAGGCTCAAGTGATCTTCCTGCCTCAGCCTCTCAAGTAGCTAGGACTACAGGTATGCACCACCATGCCCAGATAATTTTTTAAAAATTTTTGTAGGGATGGTGTCTCATCATGTTGTGTAGGCTGATCTTGAACACCTGGTCTCAAACAATCCTTTCCCCTTGACCTCCCAACGTGCTGGGATTACAGGTATGTGCCACCACACCTGGCCAAATCAGATACTTTTTAAAGTTTAACACTGCAAAAGAAAACTTTCTCATCATTACTCTCAACATTTTTCCAGGTATTTATAGTAATGAT